TTTTTTTTTTTTTTTTTTTTTTTTTTTTTGGGTCCACGTTCGGCCTGAACGGCCGAACGCATCCCCAAGGGGTCCCATACGTTCGGGCGTTCCGGTTCGGGCATCCGGCCCGTCCCGAAGGCCGGTTACCCTGTATACATATATATATATATATATATGTATATATATACAAGGTCACCAGCCCGTACGTACGGAGGTCCCCGGGCAGACCTGTGTTAGCTGGGTTTCGATGCCTGGATTTGTCTGTTTTTCCTGTTTTTTTGCCCTGTTTTCCGGAACCATTTGTGCGTAATCTACTGGGCCTCGATGCCCGGGTCTGCATGTTTGATTACTTCGATAGTTAGAAATGTTAGGACTGTTTTGGATTGATCGGGAAGGCTTAGAACTGTTAGGACTTTTCACAGGATTGTATGGGAAGGCTTGACACTATGTTAACACACAGGGCCAAGGCACGATCTGTTTGGCTTTTCGATTGTTCTGGATACATAAATACAGAGCGTCCGTCTGATTACTTGTTCTACAGGTCGAATGTATCTCGCGGAACGCTAGCATCCGGATGTTGGCGCTACTTGAGAACGAGAGTGGGTGTGGGGAAGGATGGATTTGTAAGGGGAAGAAGGCCGGAGGGAACCCCCTGAAGAGACACCGTGGTTGGTGTCGAAACGAGACGTCGAGGACGCCATACCTGTATTGTGCTACTCTGTAATATTCGACGTTTTTTGTCTCATGTCCGATGTTGTGTGAGTGATGTTGTGCATGAAAACGCTTGGCTTTCATACTCTATGAATCTGCATACTGCGCGTGTGAACACTTTCGGAGTCGCTTTACCGAAAGGGTTGAGCACGTAATCGTCCTGTACGACTGGTGTTTTTGAAGTTTGACTGTACTACCGAGACTGAGGTTACGAAGAAGCGAATCCCGTCAGTTACGAGTTGAGTAACTATGTCGAATGATCAGCGAGAGAGCGGAGGTGGCCATGGAGGCAACCAGGAGAGAGGACCGCGGAGGCCTCCACTCATCTGTTTCGCATGCGGTGAATAGGGACATTATGCGACGCAATGCAGAAACCCGAGACCGGGTTGGCGAGTGGCCCAACAAGCAAGACCGTCCAGCTCCACGGACTCCATGCGAGGGAGATCTTATTCGCCACGTAAGTATAACCGAGGTTCTACTTCAGAAGATCGTGAGGTGCAATCTCAGGTGAAGGAGATCGGAGATAGCGTGGCGACATTGCGCGAATACATTGAAGCAGAATGCGCAAAGAAAGAGGTAAAGGCACGTAAAAAAGACGAAAGGAAGGAAGCGGAGCGCCGTGCCATGGAAGAAAAGGAAGCGAGGGAGCGGAAAGCGAAGAAGAAGGCTGAGAAAGCACGGGAGGAGGAAGAGAGAGTCACGGCTATCCGTAAGGATATGGATCTACATGTCAAACTTACTGTGAAGGAAGCACTCAGCGGAGCCTGCGCTGAGTTCCGGGAGGCGATCGTCGCCACGAAGCTCCATGAGAAGATGAAGGGGAAGAAAAAATTGAACTACGTACCTGAGGAGGAGTTCTCCGAGTACGAATTTGTAGGTAGTGATACGGAGGAGATTTCTGAACGGGCGCAGGGTCGAAGTATTAATTGAAAGCGGAAGAGAGGGCCAGAACCTGTTTTCGAGGATAGCCCGCCCATGGAGTTGCCGGCAAAAAGGACACCGAAGCATACACCGAGGAGAGGGATCCTTAAACCGGCGAAGCTTACACCAAGGTTGACCCGCTCGAAGACCAAGGCAAAAGTTAGACTCTCCCCAGCAACGAAGGACAAAATCACGTCAGCAGTGAATCGGAAGATCCCTGCCACCACGGGCAAGATTGGTCGGTACAAGCTCAGGGAGGAGGTGATGCGACTGCTCAAGGATCATGAAGCGATCACTCTACAGAACCTTTGCTTTGAGGAAGGGATTCAGTATAGAGGTAAGATCGATGCGATCTTTGATTTGGCACAGCATAGGGCTTACACCGCCTATGGTACCGACAACGAAGACGATGGACAAGTTGAGAGTAAGCAGGATATTGACGATGTCGGGGGAACGAAAGTTGTTGAAGGCAACAAGGGAGTTGCCGAGGATGTTGACGAGTGATGCGTTTTCGGTATATCCGAGTATTGGAGGCTTTGCCAAATTTTGGTTGATGTACGTGGTAAGCTTGATAAGACTGACCGTAAGTTGAAATTGTTGTTCCGTATGATCGTTGTCCGACTGTCTGTCGCTGGATGCATTCGGTGGAATAGGAAGTGTATATCTGCTTGGTTACGGCTGTACGAGCTATTTGGCTTTGAGTTCTTGCATCTGAGGAACGTTGTATATGTTGCAGTGTCCCCTTTCTGTTGAGCGCAATATGTCGAAAAAATATGTCGGGATGTTGATGTACGATGGGGGGAACACTTGTACGCTAGTAAGCAGAAGACACCGACCCACTTTCATCGTTGGATTGGCTGTTTCGGATCCCGGAATTACACTTTGATCCCCGTCGATACTATCGAGGGAAACGAGCTGTTGAATTTGGAACATGTGTATATTAGGCAGTGGTCACCTGTTCTAAATACAGCCGGACTTAAGAAGGGAGTCGGGAAGAAGAAGCGTACGAGGAAAGGAGCGAGAGAAAAACGAAAATCCAATCCGCAGGATTCTAAATCTCACAGAGATGTGCAACCGATTAGATTCACGAGTAGGGAACAGGATGGGATATTTGTTAATCTCTGTGATTTTTTGTCGAAATGCTCGTCCAAGGGATGTACCGAATCTGACCTTCAATGTGATGGAGGAAACACTTGGTACACACCCTGGAAAAAGATTAGGAGAATGTTTGGCGAAAGTGTCGTTGAGATTGATGGACTGACCTTACCTCTAAAATCTGCGAAGAGCTACTTCGAAGAGGGAGGATTCTTTAGGTTCACCCACCAAATAAAGTGAAAACAAAAGGTTAGAAGTGAAAAAAAAACAAAATAGTGAGTGGACGAGTACGTTTTGACACCCCCACCTTTGACGATTTTTAATGTTTTTCAAGCTTAGCAGAATGGCTTCAAAATTTATAGGCGTGTAGGTTACATCATAGAGAACTAAAAAAAAAAATTCAGAAAAAAAAAAATATTTGTAAACCCCGAAATTGTTTTTGGCGGGGGCCGGACCTGGAGGTGTTCGGCCCCCGAACGGGACCCCGAACGTTCGGGGGCCAGCTCGGGGCCCCCCGAACGTTCGGTCAGGTAACCCTGTATATATATACATATATATATATATATATATATATATATATATATATATATATATATATATACAGAGTTGCCAGGCTGAACGTACGGAGACCCCTAAGCTGACCCTCGAACGTTCGGGCGTTCAGGTCCCCGTACGGGGCCCGAACTCGAAGGGGTTCGGACCCCGCAAAAAACTATTTCGGTACCTAAAACTTATTATAATTTTCTGATTTTTTTTGTTTTGAGTTCTCTGTTATGTAAGCTACCTGTTTCTCAATTTTGAAGTCATTCTGTGGAGCCAAATAATAATGAAAAATCGGCAAAGATGGTGGTGTCAGAACTTGCTTTTCCACTTGCTAATTTATTTTTTTTCTCTTTTCACTTTTTGTTTTCCCTTTATTTCGGGGTCTGAAAAAAAATATTATTTTTTCAAACTTTATTTGCAGGTTCTCTCTGATGTAAGATACATATGTATAAAATTTCATGGCATTTAACAAAGCCAAAAAACAATGAAAAATCGCCAAAGATGACGGTGTCAAAACCTTGCGCGCCCACGCAATAATTTCATTCTCGTTTTAATTTTTTTTTTTACTTTCATTAATATTATTTATTTTTCGTATTTGATTTTTATTTCAAATTTGGTTAGAAATTTGGATTTACTATTGAGGCAAATGTTGTTTAGTTTATTCTTCTTCATGACACAGTTTTGTTTCACAATTTTTGGAAACTTTTTTTTTTTTTTTTTTTTTTTTTTTTTTTTTTTTTTTTTTTTTTTTTTTTTTTTTTTTTT